GATTTGTTCCAACGACGAATGTCATTTTGATCTTTCATCAGAAACCATGCAAAAGATTGATATAGTCGATCTTGAACTTCAATACAGTGATGAATTTCCAAGTGTTCATCTACTGTACCTTAAAGCACTACAGGAAAGCAAGTCCAGTAGAATAACTATGCTTCATGGTCCATCGGAAGCAGGCAAAACTAACTATCTACACTGTCTGATCAACGAAATCGAGGATAAAGAATTGGGCGATGTTCCACCACTGATTTTGCACGTGTGAGTTATTGAATGAAAACTTGTCGAACACTGATGATAACCTGTTTATTTTCAGTAAATCGCGGAACCGAATATCTGACCGTTTTCGAACACGCCATTCACGCTTACATAAACACGTGGTCTCGAATTTGTTCTATTACGACATTTAAGGCATCGATCTAGCTCTTCTATGTGATGTAAGATCAGCTATGGAATACATGGGCGACAAACTGAGTGTCGAAAATGCTCGCCGCCTATGTGTGCATCTTGGTTTGGAAGAGTGTGGTAATAGTATAAAAAATCCGACAAGTATAGTGGAAATCTACGCGAGAAAAACTGCGGAAAAACAAGTTCGAACAGCGGATGAGTCGATTGCAATAAATCAAGGCGTATTACGAGATAAAAACATACAAATAGAAAACTTGCTTAACATTTATACCTAGTAGATTAATAAAAGCGAATATATAGAACTTTGATTTATTTTTCGAACTGAAACAAAGCGATGAGAGGAAAATGATCAGATGAATAACTTCGTGAGCGAATATCAATTACCGAGATAAGTTTCGGTTGTAGGCGCTGCGTTCGATCGAAAGAATTCTGATATAAAATCCAATCGACATGAAACCGATGCGAAGACCAAGTGACAATCATTGTTGACAGATTAATCTGACGAGAATATCTGGTAAACTTTTTCAAAACATCAATAAACGATGAAATATTTCTTGGCAATCCATGTGGTAAAATAACACCTAGACCATGATATGTGTACCCAAGTGTTTGTAGTAATTGCAAACCATAAGTGTTGATTATTGAACCCAACCAGCCATGGAATGTTGATGAGAATGTATTGGATGTACAAGTGGAGGAATGAGTTTTGCAAACCGTCCAAGTATCGTAGAGAAACTCCGATGAGGTCAAGATATTGTACGTTGTCTGTTGTGGAATAGTATTGAAATCTCCGAGCAGTAGAACAACATCTGTTGGATATTTTCTTCGCCATTCATTGATCGTCGAACGAATAATCTTGGCTTGTTCTTGCCGAGCTTGTTCACTTTTGGCATCTAAATGTGTATTAAACACAAGCAAGTTCATCGATTCATCGGAAACCAGGTGAAATCGTGCAATGTTTAACGTCCGAACAGCATGACTATTCCAATCTTTACTTCCAACTGTTCGAGGTGTTTTGGATAACCAAAGATAATCTTGATCTGAAAGTTTGAGAATTTGACTATTATATAAGATTGCTACTTGGAAATCGAAGTCCGATGATGAATTAGGCGATCCAATCGATCGATAATAACTCGGTAGATGAGATAGCCAATGTTGGAACTGATTAGTTAATGGTTCTTGTACACAGAGAATGGTTGGTTGCCATTTTTCGATGGTTTGAGTTAAACGATGGATTCGTTTTGTAAAGTTATTCTCAGGATCATGCTCGAGGATGTCAACACGAATGTTGAATGTCATAACTGATAATAAATCCTGTTTGAGAGAGGAATATTTCTGTAGCATGTCGTCATCATCTTGCTCGGTATAACGAGGAAATGTAAATAGAGAAGCGAAGAGAATGGGGATTATGACTGAAAGAAATATAAACCATTTGTGGTTCATAACAGAATGTGTCGTTGAGAATACGAACACAATGCATAGAAAATAGTTTTATACCTTTGTATGCCAGACGTCTTCGTTCTATTGGATGATTATAAACTAGAGACATCTATATGAAACTCGAAAATAATTATGCTCTATTGAGCAATATCAATCTGAATTTCCATATTGATTCTACTATGAAGAAATGCGTAATGTAGAAAAGTCTCTTTTAAAATAGTCTTGAAAGATAATTTCTCTAGGTAAACGGAGGAATCGAGTCACATGCGCTTGTATCACCCTCGCGAATAGTCTTAAAAGTGCAGATCAATGCTCGTCGACACACATGATCGCAGTGCGATCCATCAGCATAAGATTTTGTATAATGCTTGTACACTGTACCCATTAGTGGTCCATCAATATCCATCTCAAGTCTTTTGATGAAATTATCCCAGTCAACTGGAAACAAATTGTCCATTTGATAGGCATCCCGGACGCTGTATTCATTTTGCATTACCGTTCGATTGTAAAAGTTTGTTGCAGTCAAATTCATAATCACCGTACGATGATCAAGTATCCAATAGGAACTCGATGAATATTCACCATCCATTGTATAAATGCGATAGCCGGGATTCAGAGAAACTGCAGTTGTCAACGATGGTGCCAAGTAGGCCTACAATTGTCAGGTATGTAGTATAAGTCGTTCACGAGCTACTATGGGAATGCACTTACAATCGAAATAGGCCGTTGACGATCATGTTCATCGTAGAAAATATTGAACTCATCCCGGTGTGTATGACCATAAAATTGACCGGAGATTGTGTTTTCAAATCTATTCGTATGAAGAGTAAACAAAGTAGCGTATACTTTCAGTTGTCTAACCTATTGATAATTCTATTGAAGTTCCAACCGAATGCAGCAAGACACGTGCGTGGCGAATGATGAGCAATAATATGAACTTTTTCTGCGTGAGTTTCTGCGTACTGTAACCATTGAATCAGCTACAAAGAATACTTCAGTTATTTTTTCGTACCATCCTACTAAATAACTTACCCATTCAAGCTGATTGAGTGGATCAGTTGCATTGATAAATAACCAATAGTTATCCGATGCGTAATAGTTTGTATTGAGTGAAATTATTCGTAGACCAGGACGAACAATAGTTGTATAGAATCCTCCCCGAAGAATCGTTTCACGTGTACTAATAGGTAAACCCAATGTATTTATCCAACTATCGGCCAATGATTGATATAACCATGAAATGTTATCCGAACGAATATTCGGTGTTGGAAACAAATTGCACGGAGCTCAAGATAAATAAATATAGTAAAATTCAAGCAAAAAGCGTTCATATCTTTACCTGCTTCATGGTTGCCAATCGTTGAATAGATCATTTTATCTGGAAATGTTTTAGCCAACAAATGGTTGATCGTGTTGATTGAATACAGTTGACCAGCACGCGATTGATTCCATACGTCGTGAGGTGGTGTATCGCCAGTATAATAGATGAAATCAATCTAAATAGAATGGACCATCAAAGCTACGAGATAGCAAAGGATGAGCTCGTCTAGCACTTTTTCTGTATTTGCAGCGTAATTCAGTATCGTTTGGGCTGTCCAATATGGTAGGTCACAATGACCACTGGTTCCCCTGCAAATAGTAGTCATGTGATGTTATGTAAAATGTCAAATATTCAATAAGACAAACCAAAAGCCAGCAGGTGGGCGACCAGGTACTATAATCGAAAATAAGATCTGTAGTAAATACTGACATATGTGTACATCTTGACACTTACGAGGCGTGCCCTTTCGACAACACATTGGTTCAAGACAGTCTGCATTGGATCCTGGCTTGTACTGGAAATCCACGTGAATGTCCGCTAAATGCAATATTTCCAACGTTGGTGATTTAGGCTAAAATATATCGGTCAACACACTGTTGATTGTGTATAAGTGAACACTTACTGAAGGAGGTTTCGGTGGCGACGGTGATGGTTTACTACCAGGAATGGGAATAGTCCAGTTTAATGCCGGGTAGTCGGTTTCCCGATCACAGTGTAGAGCAAGTGAGCATAACGCCTTGTCATTGTAATCAGTCAAAGAGATGACTTGGATGATGACATCCTGAAAAACTTTGTTCTCTTTTTTACAGTTACTTGATAATGCAAGTTAGTTACTTGATATTCAAGTACCGATCCACGGCAAACATCAAGAAGTATTTTGAAGTCGTAGCAAACTTGAAGTGCAACAGTTTCGATAAATTTCGTTTGGTTTGTTTCGATAAGTAATCGTATCTAATCAAGTATTCCAGTAAGAGAAACCAAATATCACAAACTTACTACAGGTAAGAGTACATGACACATCTTACAATATAATTCTTCTGGATTGTTCTGCTGTTGAAACACCCATCGAAGTGCGTTAAAGTTATGAGAATGTTCAAAGCGATGTCGATAATTGATCAGAGTGGTCAAGAACTCTTCGTTGTTTTGTATGAGCTTGTTCGCGGACTGTTCATCGTCTCTTTCGTGTTGAATAGCTTTACCGTCAATTGTCAAAAACGTGACGACGAAGACAAAAAGAAGTGGAGTGACTTTTTTTTTCATCATTGTTAAAATAAGAACGAAAGCTTATGTGAGAACAATGGTTACATAAACTAATCGAAATAGCAAACTTATCTTTTATGAGAACTTTAATCTTTCAGGAGACACCAAAAAAAGTGTCCTCAAAGTGGAAAATGGTTTGCACACAAATAAATTTATTATATGAGACATTCTGTCGTAGCACGATGCTTTTTTATTGACTTTGAATTCAAACGTAGATAAAATGTACTTTAATCGTTTATTTTTCTAAATTTGTCGAATGTCAACAATCGACTTGAAAATCTTTTCCGTGATCCAGATCTCTCAAAGTCACAAATATCATATTCGATGAATGCAAGCTCTAGATCAAAAACTCACTTTTGAGACATTTTGCACTAGAAAACTGAGTTTTTTTCCTATATAGACCAAGATGTGTAGGTTAAACGCAGAGTCTGTCAGATTTCGAGTTCGAATCTACGCTACCGACTGCAATAAAAACTCCGAACTTTCCATGATTTTTCGAAATGGAAAATACAATCGGTTAAATTTTCACCAGCCTCACATATCTTAGCTCATAATACTTCAATGTAATTGAGGATGTGAGGGCGTTATATCCAAAATGAAGCGTACGAGTGAGTAACGCGAAATTATAGGTGAACATTTGTGAAACACTTATAGCAAAAGAATACAGAGTACATGAACTGTTGTGATACATTGGTTGAGTGAAAACAATACACAACACAATAGGATCGAGATTTCCAACACGCCAAATAAGATCCATACTATATTGAGATAGGCTTTTGTTTCAAAGATTGTTAAGTGAGAAATGTAAAACGCATCATTGTCATTGGTAGCGTTATTCATAGTCGTACTAGATATTGTCCTCAATGAAATCTACAGAAAGAACGGGTCTTCTTAGCATTAATGTCAGAGCGAAGTTTCTTAACAGTATATATCGTTTCGCTCAAGATGATTATGTTAACTACATCAGATATTTCTACGTCAAAGAAATCTTTTACTCGATCATGTTTATATTTTATGTTTGAGTTTTTGTTTTTTTTTTTGCATTAATTAGAGCGAAAGCACGTATTTGTGACTGAATAAAATGTATCCAAAGAACAGGAAAATTTAAAGACCATACGATAAGAATTTGTCAGTTCAATGGAAGAGTTTACGACGCTTGTTGGAAAGAATGCACATCCAATTCGTTCTTCCACTTCTGAATATGAAAAGAGTGTGTCACTAACAGCAAAGCGAATATACGTATTTTAGTTTGTGAAAAAACAAGACTAGATGCTTGATTTTGAATAAGATTAAGCGAGAGTGGAATCTGCTTGGTTTATTTCAATTGAGGACGTTTTTCTCTGATCATCAGTGAAGAAGACATGCACATAGAGATGTTCTAAATCTCTCTGAAGATTCGATTCCACCAGAGAAAAGTCAAAACTATCGTATTTTGAACATGAATTGTCATAAGTTCCTTTGAGTAATAATGGAATCATGTATGACTGTTCGTTTGATTTCCAAGCTAGAACGTTATTTCAATCTTCAGTTTGACAAAATAGGAAAAAAAACGAAAATATAACTCATACGATCATCAACGTCTGTCTATTTCGATGAACCATTCGAGATGACTGTTGATCCAGGCATTGTACTGAATTTGACTAAACCATCCGTTTTGAATATATCAGCAAAGCATTGTTGACATTCGCTAAAAAACATATGACTACCAGCTTTCAATTGATCCAAATCAATAATGCGTCCTTGATCATCTCGCTTAAAGTTCATCAACGATGTATCACGAAATAATCGATCCGGTAACAACGATTGATTATAGACGTTCGAAGAACATGTTTTGCAATGAAATCTTTCCATTCGTTCTGTAGCTTTGAAACCTTTGAGATTTTTCAATCCTTTGGTAACTTCTAAACTCTCGTTTGCGAATCCAACAAACGGTACTGCCACGCCACCAGAGATTCTTGTACAAATTGAACAATGACAAAGAGTACGAAAGAGCGGTTTGCCTTCGCAAATGAATTGACACGCACCACAATAGCACGAACCTTCAAACTTCAATTGCTCGGAATCTAAAAATTATCAATAGCAACATAAACTTCGAAATATTTGTGTGCAGTTAATCTTGTTTTACTCTTTTCTGTTTCCATGTTTTCGATCGGACTTCTTTAACTTCGATTGTTTGAATAAATGAGATAATATTGTCGATCGTTATGTATGAGTACGTGAACGGTGATATTTATGATAAAAATCTGAAAGAAGAAGACCATCGATGTATTGTTCTCGAATGTATCTTCGCATCGAGATAAAGAAAATCCTTTTCGTTTCTGTTACGCGTTATGAGAGAGGCCTAGTAACCACCATGTGTCTCCTCCAATCGATTGATGGAAAATATATCTTCTGGTCAGTGACATCTTTTGTTTATCGAAGTGAATATCGAGGATGAGGATATTACGAAATCTATAGTATTAACCATATTTTCCCTAAAAAAATGGATTTCGAACGAAAGATTATTCACAATCAGTATTACTCTCCAAATCGTAAACATAAGGAAAACTATGTTTGTTCATTACTAAACTTTAGTATCGAATATTGACAAGGAGAATTGATTAAATTCCATTGAACCACTCGCCTGTTTTTGAAGTCAGCAATCGCGTCCATAGATGGTTTCAATTGATCCCTTCTACTTCTTCTTTCAGAAGGCAAATATTTGCTGCATCGGAAAAAATCTATAGAGGCCACTTGTTCGATTTAATTTCCTACTGCTTCGAGCTTAAAATATGAAGGAGTTTGCGTCGATTTCTATTCAAACATTCAATAGCAAATATTCTTCGCATGGAATCAGACGAGATCAGACTGTTAGTGAATTTCGGTCCTTCGAACGAACTCTTTCATTGCGTGCAGCTAATAATTTATCTTTAGTCAAACCATTCATTGGTTTTCGATGATAGTTTCTTGCTGTTTTCCTCATCACTTTGAGTCATGTCATAATGTCAATACCTCTTTTTCTGTTGTCATTTAGTAATGAACTATAACATTATCCTTATTTTTATTCTTTTATTTCGCATCTTTGCATTGTAGAGAACATCATGCAAGTAAATTTTGTATATCAGTCGGATAAATGATTTTAGTGGCCACCTCGTGTTGAATGATGTTGTCCTCTATATGAACCTTCATAAGCTGGTTCGTGATATCCGGTATCACTCGGTGCCAAATGTTCAGCACCAGCAAATCGAACACCATGTGCAATACCTCTGCCTGTATGAGGAAAGCTCATTCTTCCATATGGCATATTCATACCAGGTGTAGCGAAACATATGCCTTCAGATGATGCATTCATATGAGGTCTAGTAGAACTCATCTGCCCATATGGCATATTCATACCAGGTGTAGCGACACATATGCCTTCAGATGATGCATTCACATGAGGCCTAGTAGAACCCATCTGCCCATATGGCATACCCATTCCATAATTCGCTGGTGGTACGCTACTACCTCCTGCTTCTAACAGTTTAGGTATAATATATTGAGAGAGCACGGAGCCGACGGTATCCTTGAGTGCGCTTTGAAAAGATCCAGATGAGTCCTCCTAATTTCTTAAACTCGAATTAAGACACTGATATCAATCGATAAACTTACTTTTTTCATTTCTTTTTCTAGTTTTTCTTTTTCTAATTTTTCTCTTTCATCTTTCCTTGCCTAAAGATAAATATACGAACCATTCACTTGGTCATTTTGTTTTAGCAAAAATATACCCGATCTTCAATATCTTTTCGCTCAGCTTCCTTTTTCTGGCGTTCTTTTTCGTCCAGTTTTCGTTTTTCTTCCTCTCGGCTTCTTTCAATACGTTGATACTCAGCATTTGTATAAAACTGTCCATTATTACTTCTTATCATGGTATCAACAATTGCAATCAACTGATTTATTTTTCTATCCAATCGTTCACCATTTAATTTATTGTTGATTGCAAATATTCGTTGGCCGCAATCTTGAGCTAATCTATTCAAATCTGATGATGATTTGATAAAGTCATTCAGCGTTTGACCCTCTTCCAATTGGTCTTCACCAGTAAAAACAAGAATGCAATATTTGGCCGCATCAGGTCCGAAAATACGTCGAATAAAATCGATTGTGCTTTTTTCTTCAGGCGTAAAGCGATCAACACGAAGAACAATAAAAAATGCATGAACACCCGGTGTAGTCATTTCAAAAATTTGTGATGCAATTTTTCTTTCTACCATAGCATTGGTTATTTTTTCATTAGTATCGAAAAAGCCCGGTGTATCGACCACAATAAGTTTTTGTGGTTGACCATGCTTGTCTGTATATTGATATTCTCCAGACTTGCAATCTGTTGTAATTGATTCAGCGGATTGCGTAGCATAGAAAGCATTTCGAGAGCGTAATAGTGAATTTCCAGTAGAACTCTTTCCTAATAAAGATATAACTAATTTTATTTTTCTATAAATGCGAGGGCTTTGAGTGTTATGTGTACTACGAAATGCATATGAAACAGACGGCATACGAACTTCTACGAGAACATAATTATTTTTTCAATGACTCATTCAACTATAACCTCATTTTCGTACTCGAATGAAGTACTGATGATGATGAGGTGATGCTGTACGGAAGGTTAAACTCAATCTGACTCTCCTATGGAAAGTTTTCTAGTGAACGGACGGACGTACTTCATTCGTAAATATAAAATAAAGATTCGTACTAACCATTGCCTGTTTTTCCAACCAAAACCACACGCATCTCATACTTTGATGAAGCCTAAAGAAGTTATACGACGATTAGGTCAATAGAAAACGAGCAAATATTTTGCTTCATACCATTTATTGTTGGAATTTGTTCTTTGCGAGTGAATATTACACCGTATATATATATATATATGCATATAATATTGACTAAAGGACGAAAACTGGGTGTTTTCATTATTGGATGACAGATACGGCTTGCATAATATACGTTTACTGGTTTTTTCCCCCATAGAAATCACTGCATCCACATAGCTGTCATAATATCATTACGCTGGGTATCCAGAGCTGAACGTCTCGATGCCCAGTAGGATAGCCAAATTGATTTCATCAGCCGATCTCGTTACCGGTTGCCCGATACCGGATAACCAAACAGTGTCCTTGCCAGATGTGAGGAATTTGATCGGACTACGTTGAGGGTGAGGGTGCGGGAAAGTCCCATTACGTGGACAAAAGGTCTTTCGGATTTCAACTTCCATCTGGTTACCCACTCGGTATCGATCAAATTCACTCTAATTCCTCGGGGTTTTAGATATACTGTTGTCGATTTTTAAATGGATACCCGGGGTAATGATATTATGACATCACCCCTATAAGCATCAAAATCAGGTGCCCTTAGAGTTTTATTCAGTAGTCGATAGAGAAACATATCTTTCGTACGTCAATATACAACGTTACTACTTTTGTAATCACCATAAAAATCACTAATTAATTTTCGTTTCCTTTCGTCTCCATATCTTATCTTCATGAAGAATCGCCATTATTTGACGCTTCTAGAAAAATATCAACGAGGAATTCCAACTCTGGTTCCATTCGTTCCAAATAGAACTCGATCAGCTCTATTTATTCCAAAAAAGAGATTCCCGAAAATACTCTTCCTTAGTCCTAAAATATGCAAAAAAACATTTAATAAATAACCTGAAAATTAGAGAAAAACACGGACGGATTCGTTTCTTCATTTTCAACTATCGTTCCAACACTTGTTTCAGATGCAACTGGATGAGCTCTATCGATCCCAATCATAAAATTTTTCACTCTCATCATCACCCTGGCTCTCAATGAGGGTGTGAACCAAGACATATGCGCATTGGTGCAGGCGCTTGTTCTATATCTACTTGCACCATCACCCTTTTCATCGCGTATGAACATTTGATAGAATAAGAATAAAATAAAATTATAGTTTTTATCCAATAGATTTAGCAATATAAAACACATTGTTATCATTTCTTTTTGTTTGCCATAAATTACACACAAAACCGCCATGTGCTTTAGATACTGCTCTTATCATTCATCTATAAATATTAACCAAATGAAGAATACAAGCCATATAGAAGTAGAAAGATGAATGTAAAACATCTTTTTTCGCTGATATTGCTCGCAGCATATACCATTTCATGTAAGTTTTTCTGAAATCTATCAAAAGGAAAACTTATAGGATTAAATAGGTCATGGTGCATTTCGTTTTGCCAATTATATACAGGATCATATGGTACTTCAACGAGCACCAAAAAGATCAATAGTATGGGGTTATAGTGATACGAGTAGTGATATATCACTTGAATTTAACAATCAAATGTATAAAACCATCAGCGGATCACATCCTGTGAACAACTACGGTGAAAGTATTTGGTCAGTTACGCTCGATCCACAACCCGATGGAGGTCCTAATCAAATAAATGTTCATCAAACATTGCCTAATGGCACACTTCTAACAATTACTCTGAATGATGTTTATTTTGGCGATGTCTGGTTTTGTTCAGGACAATCGAATATGCAAATGACGGTGAGAGACATCTTCAATGCTTCTATCGAAATAGCGAATGCAAATAAATATCCAAAAATACGATTATTCACAGCTGCGCTCAGACCGTCAGCTACACCAGTGGAAGAACTGATAGGTATAGAACAAAATTGGTCAATACCTTCTGCGGAAAGTGTCGGCGGACCATCATGGTCCTATATATCAGCGGTATGTTGGCTCTATGGTCGTATGATCCACGAAGAATTAGGTGGTATACCAATTGGACTAATTGTTAGTAGCTGGGGCGGTACCGCTATTGAGCTTTGGATGCCACCACAGCCACTGCATGATTGTGGCATCTCATCGTAAGTTAATCTTAGTTTTTCTCTATATGGTTCGTTTTTTGTTAATGATTATTAATAGTGGGATGGTTCCATTGCAAAGTTATAATAAACCTTTGCAAATACAAGAGACATTAAATAATTCGAATTTATATAATGCCATGATTTATCCTTTTACACGAATGGTTATCTATGGTGCTATTTGGTATCAAGGTAGAAAAGAATATTCAAAATAAGATATTATATTTCATATTTTCGTATATAGGTGAATCAAATTCTGACTATAATCGTGACAAATATACATGTACATTTTCCAAAATGATTCAGTCTTGGCGTGAAATATGGCATGAACGGACTAATGCCACGACTGATATTCAATTTCCATTTGGATTCGTCCAAGTAACTTTTTCTTTTGCAGAACTTTTGCTTCATTAAGTATGTTTTTCTATATATTAGTTATCAACAAATACGAATGATAGTCGAAAAGTCGGTGGGTTTCCATGGATTCGTTGGCATCAAACATTTGATGTCGGATATGTACCGAATCATGTTGTCCCGAATGTTTTCATGGCTGTTGCTTTGGACTTACGCGATGATCCGAATAAGTTGGTTTCGTTCTTTTCATAGACGACCCAATGTCTATTGTATTTCCATAGCGTCCATCCACGAACGAAGCATGATGTTGCCTATCGTTTATCTCGTGCAGGTCTTGCTGTTGCATATAATCGTTCAATCGAATTTCAAGGTCCTATTGTGTCCAATGCAAATGTATCGAGTGATAGAGAACGAATCTATGTTACATATACAACTGTTACGGATATGGTTTTTCAAAGTTTAGACGGATTTGAAGTATNGAAGAACATGTTTTGCAATGAAATCTTTCCATTCGTTCTGTAGCTTTGAAACCTTTGAGATTTTTCAATCCTTTGGTAACTTTTAAACTCTCGTTTGTGAATCCAACAAACGGTACTGCCATACCACCGGAGATTCTTGTACAAATTGAACAATGGCAAAGAGTACGAAAGAGCGGTTTTCCTTCGCAAATGAATTGACATGCACCACAATAGCACGAACCTTCAAACTTCAATTGCTCAGAATCTAAAAATTATCAATAGCAACATAAACTTCGAAATATTTGTTCAGTCAATCTTGTTTTACTCTTTTCTGTTTCCATGTTTTCGATCGGACTTCTTTAACTTCGATTGTTTGAATAAATGAGAAAATATTGTCGATCGTTATTTATGACTACGTGAACGGTGATATTTACGATAAAAATCTGAAAGAAGAAGACCATCGATGTATTGTTCTCGAAGTCAACGTTCAAATATGAAGTTGTGCATCTTCGCATCGAGATAAAGAAAATTCTTTTCGTTTCTGGTATGCGCTGTGAGAGAGGCCTAATAACCACCATGTTTCTTCTCCAATCAATTAATGGAAAGTATATCTCCTGGTCAGTGACATCTTTTTTATCGAAGTGAATATCGAGAGCGAGAATATTACGAAATCTATAGTATTAACCGTATTTTTTCCAAGAAAATGGATTTTGAATGAAAGAAAGTTTATAATCTAATTAGATGTAAATTAATGAAAGAATATTTTACGAAATGGAACAGGATGATGCAGTTTCGATTCTCTAGATTTTATTGAACACTGGAATCAGAATTTTGTCATATATCACCTTCAAATGTGAAGTCGAATATCATTTGTTCTTTTTCAAAATATGATTTCGAATTCTGGAAGTAGCTCGTGTTTTTACTACTGACAATGCAAAGATTTTCTTCAACATCAAATAATGAACTACTAAGATAATATAATTGATTTGAGTTTGTCCCTTGTCCGGTTTCGCCAACAGCAACTTCACTTTTGTCTTAAAATGGACCTACTAAGCTGATCAAGTGGATCTCCACCGGTCGCTAATTTTCCACAGTTGTTCATCCTCAGTTTGTGGAATGATCGAAAAGCTTTGCCTATTAGTTTCGCTGGCCTCATCAGAATTCTTGAATTTTCCTTCAAAACTTCATAAAAATGGTATGACGGCTCTATTTCCAAAGTACTGACGATGAATGGTGATGAACGAGGTCCAAATATTGGGTTTCTGTGTGCATTGATTCCTCCTGTCATTAATCTCCTAATCTTTCGACTTATTCAATCAAATTTGGAGGATGAGCGTATGAACTAATACATAAGCGCATCGGTGCCGGCGCTTGTTCTATATCTACTTGTACCGTCACCCTTTTCATCACATCTGAACATTTGATAGAATAAGAATAAAATAAAATTATAGTTTTTATCCAATAGATTTAGCAATATAAAACACATTGTTATCATTTCTTTTTGTTTGCCATAAATTACACACAAAACCACCATGTGCTTTAGATACTGTTCTTATCATTCATCTATAAATATTAACAAAACGAAGAATACAAGTGAAATAAAAGTAGAAGGATGAATGTAAAACATCTTTTTTCGTTGATATTGCTCGCAACATATACCATTTCATGTAAGTTTTTCTGAAATCTATCAAAAGGAAAACTTAGAGGATTAAATAGGTCATGGTGCATTTCGTTTTGCCAATTATATGCAGGATCATATGGTACTTCAACGAGCACCAAAAAGAGCAGTAGTATGGGGTTATAGTGATACAAGTAGTGATATAACACTTGAATTTGACAATCAAATGTATAAAACTATAAGTGGATCACATCCTGTAAACAACTACGGTGAAAGTATTTGGTCGATTACGCTCGATCCACAACCCGATGGTGGTCCTAATCAAATAAATGTTCATCAAACATTGCCTAATGGCACACTTATAACAATTACTCTGAATGATGTTTATTTTGGCGATGTCTGGTTTTGTTCAGGACAATCGAACATGCAAATGACGGTGAGAGACATCTTCAATGCTTCTATCGAAATAGCGAATGCAAATAAATATCCAAAAATACGATTATTCACAGCTGCGCTCAAACCGTCAGCTACACCAGTGGAAGAACTGATAGGTATAGAACAAAATTGGTCAATACCTTCTGCGGAAAGTGTCGGTGGACCATCATGGTCCTATATATCAGCGGTATGTTGGCTCTATGGTCGTATGATCCACGAAGAATTAGGTGGTATACCAATTGGACTAATTGTTAGTAGTTGGGGCGGTACTGCTATTGAACTTTGGATGCCACCACAGCCATTGCATGATTGTGGTATCTCATCGTAAGTTAATCTTAGTTTTTCTCTATATGATTCGTTTTTTGTCAATAATTCTTAATAGTGGAATGGTTCCATTGCAAAGTTATAATCAACTTCTGCAAATACAAGAGACATTAAATAATTCAAATTTATATAATGCCATGATTTATCCTTTTACCCGGATGGTTATCTATGGTGCTATTTGGTATCAAGGTAGAAAAAAATATATTCGAAATATGATACTCTATATTTCATATTTTCGTATATAGGTGAATCAAATTCTGACTATAATCGTGACAAATATACATGTACATTTTCCAAAATGATTCAGTCTTGGCGTGAAATATGGCATGAACGGACTAATGGCACGACTGATATTCAATTTCCATTTGGATTCGTCCAAGTAACTTTTTCTTTTGCAGAACTTTTGCTTCATTAAGTATGTTTTTCTATATTAGTTATCAACAAGTACGAATGATAGTCGAAAAGTTGGTGGGTTTCCATGGATTCGTTGGCATCAAACATTTGATGTCGGATATGTACCGAATCATGTTGTCCCGAATGTTTTCATGGCTGTTGCTTTGGACTTACGTGATGATCCGAATAAGTTGGTTTCGTTCTTTTCATAGACGATCCAATGTCTATTGTATTTCCATAGCGTCCATCCACGAACGAAGCATGATGTTGCCTATCGTTTATCTCGTGCAGGTCTTGCTGTTGCATATAATCGTTCAATCGAATTTCAAGGTCCTATTGTGTCCAATGCAAATGTATCGAGTGATAGAGAACGAATCTATGTTACATATACAACTGTTACGGATATGATTTTTCAAAGTTTAGACGGATTTGAAGTATTTATTCGAATATCTCTTGATATAAGCCTCATTTTTTCGAATTTTAGATCTGCTGTCAAGGTGTGACATGTGAAACGAATGACGATGTGTGGATACCATCATCGATTTCCGATAAAAGCGACTTAACCCTCATTATCAGAATCCGAAATGCATGTACAGGTAAACCCATTTATGGTCTTCGTTATCTATGGCATGAAACACCATGTCCATACAAGCAAGCAGCTATATATAGTTTCACAGATCCGAATCTACCTTCACCACCTTATATGAAAATTTTTTGAATGTTTATTCAGAAAATAAATTGATTGAATAGAGTGCGAAACATGAATCGATCTTCGTCTTCTATCATTAGAAGATACCATACAAATTAACTAAAATTGTATTCGAAATATATTTGAAATCTGAAATGTGGTTTTCTTACTTTGTGGATTGAATTTATCTGTCATCTATGATGATACGAATAGGACTATTCAAAACGTAAATAAATAAACTAATCAGAGGTAAATATGCATAGATGGATTGCTGTATACGAAGGGTTTACGGAAGTTAAAAATATATTTCTACTGTCTTGAGAAAGCATTGTATATTGATTGCTTGATTTATACGATCTTTTTTATTATTTTGTTCCTTAAAATGGAAAGAATTATTCATTCATTTGAGGGATAGTAGGATCGAATATCATGATTTTCGATATGAATCAAGAAAATTACGGATGTTTAATGATTTTCTTCGATATTATATTAATTTGATTAATATGAAAAGCTCTATCTTATTGTTGCTGATGTACTCGAATATGTGAACAGAGCGAAAATGTAGAGAAAACTTGAATATATTCAAATAATCATAGCAAAGAGGAGGCTGCAACATGTTGCAACAAAATTCCAAGTTGAATATGACATTGTGGTGACTGAAGACGACACAGACATTGATTTAAGAGTAGTCGAAGTATAACTTGTTGTCATTGTAGGTTTTGTTGAAGTTGTAGTTGTCTTGATGATCACAATATCTAGAAGAACAATGAATGTATGGAAAATCTGTGTGTTAAGTATACTAACTTTCTTCTGCTGCATATTGTTTAAACAGAATATACATTACAATGAAAATGATGAGAATCGCCAGGAAGATAATTATTCCGAGAATGATTTTGCACGGATTAGTTTTTTTCAATTCCGATGAATTATTCGTATGACGAACATATTGTGATTGAAATGCGCTGACATAGTTTGGTGATGCAGCAGCAGCAACAGAACCAGCTAATGGTACAGACTCTTTCTGCTGTCTCATAGTAAGAAAGAGCTCGAGAATATCAATACATTGAATAGCAAGAAACGCTTACTAAATATACGATACGATTCGACAATTTGATGGAAAACTAATTGATTTTTCTTCGACAACATGTGCGTGCATTGATGCGTAATAATATTTTATGTGATGTTGTACAGAAATATTTGGTTGAAAATGTTTTTTCTTTCGTTCGAACAGAATCTATAGAGGAAAGAAAGTGTTTTTTTTTCGTCTAACGAAGGATTATATTAGAAAGTACCTATGTCAAGAAACATTTGAACTAAAATATTTTATAGATGGATATACGGATCGAGAGCTGCTAGTGTTTCATGTTCTCTGGATGGAAACACCAAAATGATATGTCTAAGCTGTATCATTTATTCAATAATTAGCTTTATTACCAAAAAACTAGATAATTAATTTTTGATTTTTATCTTTCCATAAAAGAATTCAATCTTTTCAATTAGAAAATGTCATGATGATTAGAGCGATTCGACCTTCATTCGACTTATTCTTCTTGTTCTTATATGTCATCAATTTGCAATCTATCTCTATCTTCTCGTTTTACGTTCGAGTGACAAATAAGTGAATTGATTTGCTGTTCGGTTATTATCGAACGAGATGATGTGACTAAACCGCAATTAATTATATCGCATTTTGCTTTGCTGAAGCACTATATTGAAAGTGAATAGAGTGAGATATATTATTTTTACCCATGGAAAATATTTCAACTACTATCAATCGTTATAGATACTTGTAATATTGGATGTTTCTTCTAATGCATTTAGCATGTCATGACACTACACAACTCTAGCTGTTCTTTGTATGCATTATCATTATAATTAACCAGAAAAATCCAAGAATGATAACTAATTCGTCAATTCGATGATCTAGTTTAGTTGATAGTACGATACAGTTGCTCGCATCTTTCATTTGTTTGAGTTCATCTCGCGATTAATCGATAGAAAAGTATGAAGAACCTTTTTGCCATGAAAACTTCGAGAAATCGATACTATCTACTAAGTCTTTGTTTTCTAATTTTTCCAAGTTTTCATAGCAAATCTAACAGTGAAAAAGGTAAAATTGAATAATGAAAAGACGAAAATCTATTTTTATTCACAAATTAAATCATATTTTTGGATTCGATGATTTCCACTGTCAGCTACATAAAGATTTCCTTGAAGATCAACGGCTAAACCTTTAGGAAAAGCCAATTGATTCATTTCGTCTCTTTTTCCATTTCCGCCAATAATTATTTCACCTTCCTCATTTCCTTCACACCAACGCATTATTCGGTGATTATTACAGTCGACAACATAAATTTGGCCAAATTTATCAACAATTACTCCTTCAGGATAATTCAATTGGTTCAAATGATCACCTTTACCATTTCCACCAGCGACAACAATCCCTTTCTGTGCGTCACTCCGCCATTTCATTACACGATCGTTTCCACAATCAGAAACATAGATTGATTGTTCCTTGTCAACAAAGATAAAAGACGGATTGTTGAATTGATTAAGTCGATTTCCTTGACCATGTCCACCGGCTACTAATCGTCCTCTCCATTTTTCTCCTATCATCCATATCTATCTTTTATTAAGCGGGAACACGAAATGTTGTTAAAGAGAATATCTTGCTGATTTTGATTCCACCATCGAACCACTCGATTGTTTCCCCAATCAACAACAATCAAGGAATTATTTTTGTCATCAGCGATCATATCTGTTGGCCAGTACAACTGATCAATTCTTTCTCCTTTCCCATTTTCACCCACACCAACAGTTCCTTCACTTTCATTTAAATTCCATTTGACAATTCGATGGTTTTGAGCAATCTGCAATGAAAATATTTTGATTTTTATCAACGAAGATTCCACAAGGACTATTGAGTTGATTCAATTGTGTTCCGCGTCCATTTCCTCCCGCCACCGATTTTCCGTTTGGATTCCATCTACTGAATGTGCTTTCTTCGAAAGAAAAGGTTTCAATGAATCGGAAACGAAAGAACATTCGTACCTTTTCTTCCATCGAATAGAGAAATATGTTCGTATGTTAAAAGTGAAGTCGAATGTGGAATTTGTTGATTATTCGATTCGTTCATCACATCAATTCGTACACGACGTAGCACTTTTTCAATATCTTCATTTGACGTCTGAATATGGTTCAGAAGATATTTTGTGAACAGACCATTCTTTTCTCCATTACTTCCATCGTCTGCTGTTGTTCCAGGTGCACAAGCAAATGCTATTAGCGAACCAACTTTCGCCGGCATTGATTTTAAACCATATAAAGGATTAATTGAATCTCCACGACTGTTTTTCTTTTCAGGTAAAGGATAAATTCGACAACAGTCTAAGAAAAAAGGGTCAGAAATGGATGACAATCCTCGATTTCATTTAGAATATGTTGTGCATTGATAGCGTATCTTCGTAAATCAGAACCACATAATGGATATTTTTGCGTTGAGTTTTCTTCTTTGAAATCATCAATTGGAATGAGATAGTTTTGATTCTAGAGAAAATGACTGAAAAGAGAATTTTTTGGAGGAATATTTCGTTTACCTCCCATTGAATTCCATGGCCAGCGAAAAAGAACAAAACGATATCAGTCTGCTTTATCTGTCGTATAAAATCCGATAGAATTCGATGCATTAGGTCAAAGGTTAAATTTAATTTCGCTTCGTTTTCGTAGATTCGAAACCCAATCTGTTTGAAAATCTTCACCATTCCCTGTGCATCGTTGGTTGCATTGGGTAAACAATTCGACATAGAATAATTGCCGTTGCCAATGACTAAGGCGAATTTACGTCGATAATTAACGGAAGAAATATCGTTTGTTGATGAGACCATTTTCGAAGAATTCTAATCTAAAGAAATTGATTTTGCATTTGAATTCGATTTGATATGTTGAAGAAAAAAAATCAAGATAAGAAATAACGTGACAATTTTATGATCTATATATCAAAGTGAATTTTGCTTGTGTCTCTCATACCATAAGAAACGAAATCGTTAAGAATTTTGAGGGTGAGGATGTAAATTTAGCGAGAATACATATTCTTGCACCTTCACTTCATTAACACAGGTTAGTTTTATTCACGAATTAAATCAAATTTTAAGATACGGCGATTTCTCACGGTATCAAATGATAAACCAAACAGATTAGTCAGCTGGTTGAATTTTTGTCCATCTTCGTTTCTACCGACAACTATTCCACCTTCTATATCTTCTTCACTCCAACGCATTATTCGGTGGTTATAACAGTGTGTAACATAAATATGACCAGCACTGTCAACGATTATATCTTTAGAATGATTCATCAGAAGCTGATAGAAAAAAAAACAATTTTCAAAACTTAACTTCAGTTTTGATGAATTATTCATTTTGTGTGATGAAAACAATTAATTATGAACGAATCAATCATGTCTTTCGTCTTTTTCTTATACAAGTGAAATGTTATTGAATGCGGTGTTCAACTTATTTATGTTGAGAAATTATTAGTTGAATTTGGTGTTTAATGTTCCAAATCAATATGAAAAAAGTGAATTTACAATCTGTGATAAATATTTTGCATTTCTTTTATCACGTTAAGCAATACAATTTCATTTGTAGGAGAGTCCGATTGATCGAGATGTGATACTTTTCGTGTGTTTTGTGAGAACGAACATCTTCTCTACTTTAACATGTCAAATATACACGCTAAGAAATACATGACATTCTGTTAGGAACCAGTGTGATATAAATCATTTTCAATTTTATTGCCGCGTCTTCCGTAAATCAAATCAAGAAGAATCTTTTCATTCATAAATGCAATCCAATTGATACAAATACTTCAAATAGCAAGAATTTACACTGTCAGATGTTCATACAAGGCTTCTCTTGACAAATGAGACAGTGTCTCTTTCCGTCTGCTAAGGGGATTTTTGAGAATGGAAATCGCTGCTGTTGAATAATCGGTTATATACAGGACGGATCCCTGAATTGTTTGTGTTCATTGACATTGAAAGCAGATCTAAAGATGAAATAAGTATGATGGTTATTATCGCATTAGTTTGTTCCTACTCACCATCTCCCGACAACTTCAAAATAAATTCATGCGAGGAGAAGAATATGATTGTATTGATCTCGCTCGAGACCTGATAATGATTATCAATTTATGGAAGATTTCGCTAGCCAGTTTTCGACAAACTCCTTATTCTTTTTATGGACACATGATCAGACATCTGTATAGAAAAATCACATCTCTCCAATTTCATAGAAGTCATCACTTGAACAAGAAAGTCTATTTTTACTTTCTTATTAGATAAATAGAAGTGATCATGCTCCAGAATCGAAGTCACATGCAAAGCTTGTCATTGATTTGTTACTACTATCACGTCATTCCAAATACGACTTACAACAGCGTCAATATCTTAATGTGGTATTTGAGCAGATGCTTTGTAAATGATAAACTTAACAACAATCGAAGAAGAATAGTGGTACAGATCGCTTTTGAGTATAGCGATATTGTTGAAGAGATTTTGTTTATTATGATTGCACATATTTTCTTATCGACACCCTCACCCACACCTTGTTTGTATTAAAATCATCAACTAGATGAAGCAAATAAGTTTGATCGTTGAAAAGAAAATGGTTTTTGAAGAGTATCTTCAGTTTTACCTGTCGTTGAACTCCATAACTGGCGAAATAAAATAGAACGACATGTCGTTTCCTTATCGGATACTCTAAATCAATTAGAATATATTTCATTTCTTTGCATTTCAAATCTAATTTTGGTTCATTGCTATGAATTTGAAATTGGATACTTTTTAGTCAAGAAGATATTTTCTTTGCGTCATTTTCTGTGTCTTGAAGAGGTTCTCTTTCTCTGCATTATTGCTCATTTCGATTGCAAATTCAATTTGACGTTGATGATCTACTGGTGGAACACTCCCAATAACCTTTGTCATGAGATATCGACTGTCAATTGTGTTCACTAAAACTAAATGTGAAATTATTGGCAAATATAGAATTAATTTGACATGGAAAGTCTTCTTTTAGGTTGAGAAAGAGAAATTTTTGGTATAAGTATCTGACTAAGTTAATGTGACACGTTTTGCCGACAGTAAAAGCGCAAGGGAGAAGCAGAATGGAGATTTTTTTCTAATGAAAAACAGATTCTATGTTGTTTCGACAAACATTAAATGTTTCTTGCATTAGAGAACTAGAAAAACATCGAATAGATTTCACGGTACAAAAATGACAACGTACGTGCAACAGCATATGATCACAGATTCAATAGAACTATTCTTGAAAAAAAAACAACTGGTGAGAGAAGTCTCTGTAAAGTTTTATAAGAAGCCATCAGAAATAAGAATACAATATAAAAATTGTAAATCATGATTTTATTTCAGTATAGAAATAATATTACTTTTTGTTTGTTTGTTTGTATCCAATTTCGAGCTTCGTTTTCCTTGATGAAAGGAAAGTTCACACAAATGAATTGGCTTTTAGTATTCAAGGTTTAATACAAAGTTTTCTATACATAGAACTGATTTCTAAAGGATAAAAAATAATGATTTTAAGTGGTTCTACCTGGAGACGGGAATTTCAAAATGACCAATGACTTTGTTTTTACAACGTACAGAAAAACACGCTATAATCTTTTCTTCACATATTCCAAGCATTTCTTAAACTTTAGAAGAATAGAATGATTTGATAGTAATGACTTTTTTGCAATTTCTATATTACGTTCAGAATAAGAGTGAGCTTTTAAATAATCACCCATATTATGATACACCAAACCAATGTTGTTGTCTGATGTGGCTATAGTGGGATGATTTTCAGAGAGTGATTTATCAAGAAGTCCAAGTGCTTTTTCATGGAACTTCTTCCTTTCTACAAATGCACACTGGTTGCATCGGATCGTATCAAGTGCATTATGCATCACCAATATGTCCTCGTTACTTCGCCTGCCATTTAGTAAAGTATTGAAAATTTCTTCCGCTTTGCCATTTTGATCTAATTGTATTAGTAGACGATCTAAACGAATCTAACCTTCCTCATGGAAAGAATTTTCTCATCGAATATGATTAGTGACTACATACTCAGTTCTTTGTCAGAGTCTCTAGTTAGTGACATATTCACTTCGTATAGTAGTCGAGCAGTGTCGATCGATTTGATCTCCTGAATTCGAAATATAGTGTGCATTGAAAACAACGCTTCATTTTCTTGCAAAAACTGAACGAGATTGCCAATAAAGGCAAACGATGCCATCAGTTGAGTTGGATCGGTCTGTATATTAAACAGAACTGGCACTAAATCAGCGCTGCCAGCGTTACTCCTCTACGTATAGGACAAACAAATGTCACGTTTTGTGCTAGTGGATGAGAAGTTGTTAGATGACATTAATCCGCCTTTCACCATCCTTAGTTCATCAAATTCTGCTTTGAGTAAACCGTGACCACGATAAACTGTAAAGGTACTCGAAAAGGATGTATCAATCATTTGTTCTTTGTGTAACTGTTCAGTATTTCGATGAAGGCCATAGATGGTGAATAGAGCAGGATGATGCTTAATAAATTCTCTAATATATTTATCTTCGAAATTAATCGTTAATAGTATCTCTTCGAGCAGCTGTGTGTACATAAAAGATGAATCGAGCTGTTCTAGTTTCCTTCCGGATGGCACAAAACTCATTGATATGGTATTCTATTCATTGCGATGGAATGCATCTTCAATGGCTTTTAGGAGTGACGCTATATCAATGAAATCACCTTTTGCCAATTGTTCATGGTATGATTTGTTTTCACAAAAGATAAACACAGAATGTAATTGAGAAATATCATGAATACAAGGCACGAGACATTGTCCCAGCGAACCAGAAGTAACCAAAACTATTTTATTGTGGTCATTGTCTGCAAAAGTGTCGATATTATTAACAATGCACCTGAGTTGTGTGTTGTCAATTAATGCTGTTGCGATTAATATCGTTGTGTAACCAGATCACAGTGAAACTTTGCATCTTTGAATAGATAATGAAATTATTTGACGATTAAACTTCTTGCGAGACCAAAAAAGTAATTCAGGTGGTAAGTTTCTCTTTTCTTCTTTCTTTACAGTCTTCGTCGAATGTATTTTCATTTGAAAGAACTGTCCATAGACTTCGATGCGTACTGCAGAGTGAGCATTGACTATGTGGAAAAGATTTGTTATCATTTCTTTGAAATAAGAAAAAAAACGGAGTGTTTACATTTGCTAACTTGTAGCATGACTATCGATGAGTTGTAGTTTATAGAATCATCATAAAAAGGTCTTTGCAGTTTTTTTTGGTTGTTGGAATAATTTCATTAACACACGGGGAGTCTCATTCTAACGAGAATGAAAAGCAATCATTTCGTTTTATTAATTGACATGAATAAAGGGAATTCTTGAAACATTTCATTTCAAATCATAATTTCATTGACTAAAATGACAGCGAAAAAAGAAATCACAATGTTGCTTTTCATTCTTAGCGAATAAAAATTTTTTGTATTATTCATTTTTGAATAAGTCATGTGGATCATAAAACTCATATTTCTCATTCTTTTTTATTTATCTATAACAGGTTAGTAGAAGATCTGTTTACGATTTCTATCTTCGTAATTGAAATTATGCCTAGATCGAACCATCGAATTATGCATGTGATGAAACAGATACTCAGGTCGAAGTTTCCTTATCTGTATCATCACATTCTGGGCAAAATCAATTGTCAAATTGTTTGTTACAATCATGTAATTCATATTCATCGAATAATGATACATGTCGATTGTAATCTACACCTTGTTTCGATTACCGTACATCGAATAATAGAAGTTTCTGTGCACCAGGAATTCAATGTTCAATCTTAGAATCGTGTGATAATATTACCCATACTTGTTCATCACGAGAAATGTGTCTACCAATAGTAACAACAAGATTCTGTCGAAGAGTTAATTATTAATGCGGTTTAAATGAATTAAAATTTTAATTTATAAGTTGGTTTACTACGGGTAATATGCAAATAGCACGTTGGGGGCACACTGCATCCGTGTTATCTGATGGAAAAGTGTTAGTAACTGGCGGATCGAATAACAGTGCAGAATTGTATGATCCATAAACTGGCATCTGGACACTGACAGACAGTATGAATTAGGCACGATATGATCATACAGCAGTTGTGTTGACTAATGGAAGAGTGTTAGTTATCAGTAATTCTAATAAAGCTGAATTATATGATCCAACCACAGGTATATGGACACTTACAGGAAACATGATTCATGCTTGATACTGCTTCACAGCATCTCTATTAAGCAATGGAAACGTATTAGTGACCGGTAGAGTTGGTATTTATGACGAATCAAAAAGTGCAGAAGTGTACGATTCATTAACAAATAATTGGACATCGATTAATAACATGATCTATGCCCGATATTATTACACAGCGACTGTTTTGTCTAATGGAAACGTGTTAGTGGCGGGTGGTCTATATGGACTAAATGAAAGTTTGAATACTACTGAGCTATATGATCCATCAATAGGAGTATGGATGTCTACTGGCAATATGAGTTACGCACGGTTTCAACATAAAGCATCTCTCCTTTCTAACGGTTTAATATTAATAATTGATGAGTGGGGTTGGTGGAATTANCAGAACTTTTGCTTCGTTAGTATGCTTTTCTACATAGTTATCAACAAATACGAATGATAGTCGAAAAGTCGGTGGGTTTCCATGGATTCGTTGGCATCAAACGTTTGATGTCGGATATGTACCGAATCATGTTGTCCCGAATGTTTTCATGGCTGTTGCTTTGGACTTACGCGATGATCCGAATAAGTTGGTTTCGTTCTTTTCATAGACGACCTAATGTCTCCTGTATTTCCATAGCGTTCATCCACGGACGAAGCATGATGTTGCCTATCGTTTATCTCGCGCAGGTCTTGCTGTTGCTTATAATCGCTCAATCGAATTTCAAGGTCCTATTGTGTCCAATGCAAATGTATCGAGTGATAGAGAACGAATCTATGTTACATATACAGCTGTTGCGGATATGGTTTTCCGAAATTTAGACGGATTTGAAGTATTCATTCGAGTATCTCTTGATATAAGCCTCAATTTTCAAATTTTAGATCTGCTGTCAAGGCGTCACATGTGAAACGAATGACGATGTGTGGATACCATCATCGATTTCCGATAAAAGCGATCTAACCCTCATTATCAGAATCCGAAATGCATGTACAGGCAAACCCATTTATGGCATTCGTTATCTATGGCATGAAACGCCATGTCCATACAAACAAGCAGCTATATATAGTGTCACAGATCCGAATCTACCTTCCCCACCTTATATGAAAATTTTTTGAATGTTTATTCCGAAAAAAGATTGATTCAGTAGAATGCGAAACATGAATCGATCCTCGTCTTTTATCATCAAAAGATACCATGCAGATTAACTAAAATTGTATTCGAAATAAACTTGAAATCTGAAATGCGGTTGTCTTACTTTGTGGATTGAATTTATCTGTCATCAATGATGATACGAATAGGACTATTCAAAGAGTAAATATGCATAAATGATCTGCTGCGTTACGTAGGATTCACGGCAGTTAAAAATATATTCCTGCTGCCTTAAGAAAGCATTGCATATTGATTGGTTGATTTATTCAATCTTTTTTATTATTTTATTCCTTAGAAAGGAAAGGATTATTCATTCATTTTAGGGATAAGTACAATCGAATATCATGATCCTCGATATTATATTAGTTTGATTAATATGAAAAGCTCTATCTTATTGTTGCTGATATACTCGAATATATCAACAGAGCGAAAAGGTTTAAAAAAAAACTTGAATTTATTCAAATAGTCATAGCAAAGAGGAGGCCGTAACATGTTGCAACAAAATTCCAAGTTGAATGTGACATTTTGGTGACTGAAGACGACACAGGAATTGATTTAAGAGTAGTCGAAGTATAAGTTGTTGTCATTGTAGGCTTTGCTGAAGCTATAGTTGTCTTGATGATCACAATATCTAGAAAAACAATCAATGCATGGGAAATCTGCGTGTTAAGTATACTAACCTTCTACTGCTGCATATTGTTTAAACAGAATGTACATCACAGCGAAAATGATGAGAGTCGCTAGGAAGATAATTATTCCGAGAATGAATTTGCACGGGTTAGTTTTTTTCAATCCCGATGAATTATTCGTAGGACGAACATTTTGTGATTGAAATGCGCTGACATAATTTGGTGATGCAGCAGCAGCAGCAGAACCAGCTAATGGTACAGACTCTTTCTGCTGTCTCATAGTATGAAAAAGTTCGAGAGTATCAATACATCGAATAACAAGAAACGCTTAATAAATATATGATACGACTCGACAATTTGATGGAAAACTAATTGATTTCTTGTCGACAACATGTGCGTGCATTGATGCGTAATAATATTTTACGTGATGTTGTACAGAAATATTTGGTTGAAATTTTATTTGCTTTCGTTCGGACAGAATCTATAGAGGAAAGAAAATGTTTTTTTTTCGTCTAACAAAGGACTATATTAGAAAGCACCTGTGCCAAGAAACATTTGAGGTAAAATATTTTATAGATGAATGTACGGATCGAGAGCTGCTAGCGTTCCGTTTTCTATGAATGGGGACGCCAAAATGATATCTCTAATCTGTATCATTTGTTCAATAATCAGCTTTATTGCCAAAAAACTAAATAATTAGTTTTCGATTTTTATCTTTCCATAAAAGAATTTACTTATTTCAATTTGAGAGCGTCATGATGAATAGAGCGAATCGCCCTTCACTCGACTTATTCTTCTTGTTCTTTGATGACATCAATTTGTAATCTACTTCTACCTCCTCGTTGTACCTTCGAGTGACAAGTAAGTGAATTGGTTTCCTGTTCTGCTATTATCGGACGAGACGATGTGACTAAACCGCAGTTATATCGCACTTTGCTTTGCTGAAGCACTATATTGAAAGTGAACAAAGTGAGATGTATTATTTTTACTCATGGAAAATATTTCAACTACTATCAATCGTTATAGATACTTGTAAGATTGGATGTTTCTTTAATGCACTTAGCATGCCATGACACTACACAGCTCTAGCTGTTCTTCGTATTCATTATTATTATAATTAACCAGAAAAATCCAAGAATGATAACTAATTCGTCGATCCGACGACCTAGTTTAGCTGGATAGTACGATACAGTTACTCGCATCTTTCGTTTGTTCCGGTTCGTCTCGCGGTTAATCGATAGAAAAGTATAAAGAACGTTTTGCCATGAAAACTTCAAGAAATCGGCACTATCTACTACGTCTTTGTTTTCTAGTTTTTCCAAGTTTTCATAGGAAGCCTAACAGTGAAAAGGTAGAATTGAATAATCAAAAGACGAAAATCTATTTTTATTCATAAATTAAATCATATCTTTGGATTCGATGATTTCCACTGTCAGCTACATAGAGATTCCCTTGAAGATCGACAGCTAAACCTTTAGGAAAAGCCAATTGATTCATTTCTTCTCCTTTTCCATTTCCGCCAGCAATTATTTCACCTTCTTCATCTCCTTCACGCCAGCGCATTATTCGGTGATTATTACAGTCTGCAACATAGATTTGACCAAACTTATCAACAATTACTCCTTCTGGATAATTCAATTGGTTCAAATGATCTCCTTCACCATTCCCTCCAGCGACAATAACTCCTTTCTGTGCGTCACTCCGCCATTTCATTACACGATCGTTTCCACAATCGGAAACATAGATTGATTGCTCCTTGTCAACAAAGATAAAAGACGGATTGTTGAATTGATTAAGTCGATTTCCTTGACCATGTCCACCGGCTACTAATCGTCCTCTCCACTTTTCTCCTATCATCCACCTTCTCACTTCATTTTTGTAGAAATCTGAAGCGTAAAGAAATCCATATCTATCCTTTATTAAACGGGAACATGAAATGTTGTTAAAGAGAATATCTTGTTGATTTTGATCCCACCAGCGAACCACTCGATTGTTTCCCCAGTCGACAATAATCAAGGAATTATTTTGGCCATCAGCGATCATGTCTGTTGGCCAGTACAACTGATCAATTCTTTCTCCTTTCCCATTTTCGCCCACAACAACTGTTCCTTCACTTTCATTTAAATTCCATTTGACAATTCGATGGTTTGAGCAATCTGCAATGAAAATATTTTCATTTTTATCAACGAAGATTCCGCAAGGATTATTGAGCTGATTCAATTGTCTTCCGCGTCCATTTCCTCCCGCCACCGATTTTCCGTTTGGACTCCATCTACTCAATGTGCTTTCTTCGAAAGAAAAGATTTCAATGAATCGGAAACGAAAGAACGTTCGTACCTTTTCTTCCATCGAATAAACAAATATGTTCGTAGGTTAAAAGTGAAGTCGAATGTGGAATTTGCTGATTATTCGATTCGTTCATCACATCAATTCGTACACGACGTAGCACTTTCTCAATATCTTCATTTGGCGTCTGAAGATGCTTCAGAAGATATTTTGTGAACAGACCATTCTTTTCTCCATTACTCCCATCGTCTGCTGTTGTTCCAGGTGCGCAAGCAAATGCTATTAGCGAGCCTACTCTCGCCGGCATTGATTTTAAACCATATAAAGTATTGATTGAATCCCCACGGCTGTTTTTCTTTTCAGGTAAAGGATAAATTCGACAACAGTCTAAGAAAAATAGGGTCAGAAATGGATGACAATCCTCAATTTCATTTAGGATATGTTGTGCATTGATAGCGTATCTTCGTAGATCAGAGCCACATAGTGAATATTTTTGCGTTGAGTTTTCTTCTTTGAAATCATCAACTGGAATGAGATAGTTTTGATTCTAGAGAAAATGACTGGAAAGAGAATTTCTTGGAGGGGTATTTCGTTTACCTCCCATTGAATTCCATGGCCAGCGAAAAAGAACAAAACAATATCAGTCTGCTTTATCCCTCGTACGAAATCCGATAGAATTCGATGCATTAGGTCAAAGGTTAAATTTAATTTCGCTTCGTTTTCATAGATTCGAAACCCAATTCGTTTCAAAATCGTCACGATTTCCTTTGCATCGTTGGTTGCATTGGGTAAACAGTTCGACATCGAATAATTGCCGTTGCCAATGACTAAGGCGAATTTACGTCGATAATTAACGGAAGAAATATCGTTTGTTGACGAGGCCATCTTCGAAGAATTCTAGTCTAAAGAAATTGATTTTGCATTTGAATTCGATTTGATATGCTGAAGAAAAAAATCAAGATAAGAGACAACGTGGCAGTTTTATGATGCATTTATCAAAGTGGATTTTGCTTGTGTCTCTCGATCGTACCATAAAAAACGAAATCGTTAAGTATTTTGAGGGAGAGGATGTAAATTTAGCGAGAATACATATTCTTGCGCCTTCACTTCATCAACACAGGTTAGTCTTATTCGCGAATTAAATCAAATTTTAAGATACGGCGATTTCCCACGGTATCAAATGATAAACCAAACAGATTAGTCAGCTGATTGAATTTTTGTCCATCTCCATTTCCACCGACAACTATTCCACGTTCTATATCTCCTTCACTCCAACGCATTATTCGGTGGTTATAACAGTGTGTAACATAAATTCGACCAGCATTATCAACGATTATATCTTTAGGACGATTCAATTGATCAAGATTACTTCCTTCACCATTTCCACCAGTGACAAAACGTCCTGCTTGTCATCTGGTTTCTATCGAACAATTTGATTATATGTCGAATCTCCAATGAAGACATTTCGATTTTTATCAACAAGAATTCCTGCAGGATAGCTGATTTGATTCGGCTCGTGTCTGTTTCGATTTGTTGAATGGAATATCTTCGAGCAGAAAAGAAAAGATATTTTCAGATGGAGATGCCAAGTTTCTCTTGGATGTCTTTCAACCGTAAGAAAACTGTTCAGTGCCAAAACAAATTCAATAGTTTTGTTGCACTGTTACAAAAGGAAAGTTTCCAACAAATCCCTTCAGATATTCAACATTCATGTTCAAGAGAAACATTCTTGACGACGAACGTGATGATTCTAACATTGGATGATTGTATAACGAATTTTGAGTTCGGTGAAATACGTTTTTTTTGTGTTTCATTTATATTCGTTAAGGGTGAAGGTGAGGGACCAGCGTGACATAAATCATTCAATTTTGTTGCCGCGTTTTTCGTAAATCAAATCAAGAAGCATCTTTTAATCCATAAATGCCATCTAGTTGACACAAATAATGCAAAAAGCAAGCATTCACACTGTCTGTCAGGTATTCATACAACATTTCTCTTGACGAATGAGACAATGTCTCTTTCCGCCTGTTAAGGGGACTTTCGAGAATGGGAATCGCTCTTGTTGGATAATCGTTTATGCACTGGACGGACGCCTGAATTGTTTTTGTTCATTGACATCGAAAGAAGATCTAAATATGAAGTATGACGGCTGTTATCGCATTAGTTTGTTCCTACTCGTCATCTCCCGACAATTTCGAAATAAATTCATGCGAGAAGAATATGATTGTATTGATCTCACTCGAGATCTGACAATGATTATCAATTTATTGAAGATTTCGCTGACCAGCTTTTGAAAAGCTCCTTATTCTTTTTATGGGCACATGATCAGACGTCTGTATAGAATAATCTCGTCTCCTCAATTTCATAGAAGTCATAGCCTGAACAGGAAAGTCTAATTTTACTTTCGTATTAGATAAATAGAAGTGATCATGCGAAGCTTGTCGTTCATTTGTTACTGCTATCACGTCATTCCGAACACGACTTACATTACAGCAGCTTCAATATCTTAATGTGGCGTTTGAGTAGATGCTTCGTAAATGATAAACTCAACAACAATCAAAGAAGAATAGTGGTACAGATCGCTTTTGAGCAGCGATATTGTTGAAGAGATTTTCTGTATTGTGATTGCACATATTTTCTTATCGAATACTCTAAATCAATTAGAACATATTTCATTTTCTCTGCATTTCAAATCTAATTTTAGTTCATTACCATGAATTTGAGATTGTATGCTTCTTAGCCAAGAAGATATTTTCTTAGCGTCGCTTTCGGTGTCTTGAAGATGTTCTCTCTTTGCATTAGTGCTTATTCCGATCGCAAGTGCAATTTTACGTCGATGATCTACTATGGTGGAACACTGCCGGTAACCTCTGCCATGAGATATCGACAATCAGCTGTGCTCACTAAAGCTAAATGTGAAATTGCTGGCGGATATAGAATTAATTTGGCATGGAAAGTCTTCGTTCAGCTTGAGAAGGAGAGTTTTTTGGCATAAGTATCTGACTAAGTTGCAACACACGTTTTTCCGACAGTAAAAGCGCAAGGGAGAAGTAGAATGGACTTTTTTTCTAATGAAAAACAGATTCTGCGTTGTTTCGACAAACATTAATTGTTTCTTGTATCAGAGAACTACAAAAGCATCGGATGAATTTCGCAGTACAAAAATTACAACGTACGTGCAACATAGCATATGATCTCAGATTCAATAGAACTACTTTTGAAAAAGCAACTGGTGAGAGAAGTCTTTCTAAAGACTTATAAGAGGCCATCGGAAATAAGAATACTATATAAAAATTGTAAATCATGATTTTATTTCAGTATAGAAATAATAGTACTTTGTGTTTGTTTGTATCCAACTTCGAGCTTCGACTTCCTTGATGAAAGGAAAGTTCACACATATGAACTAGCTTTCAGTATTCAAGGTTTAATAAAAAAATTTTCGATAAATAGAATCGATTTCTAAAGAATAAACATCACGATTTTAGGTCGTTCTCCCTATAGCTGGAGACGGGAATTTCAAAATGACCAATGACTTTGTTTTTACAACGTACAGAAAAACACGCTATAATCTTTTCTTCACATATTCCAAGCGTTTCTTAAACTTTAGAAGCATAGAATGATTTGATAGTAATGACTTTTTTGCAATTTCCATATTACGTTCAGAATAAGAGTGAGCTTTTAAATAATCACCCATATTATGATACACCAAACCAATGTTGTTGTCGGATGTGGCTATAGTGAGATGATTTTCAGAGAGTGATTTATCAAGAAGTCCAAGTGCTTTTTCATGGAACTTCTTCTTTTCTACAAATGCACACTAGTTGCATCGGATCGTATCAAGTGCATTATGCATCACCAATATGTCCTCGTTACTTAGTCTGCCAGCGACCTAAACTAATCCGCCTTCCTCATGGAAAGAATTTTCTCGTCGAATATGATAAGTGACTACATACCCAGTTCTTCGTCAAAGTCGCTAGTTAGTGACATATTCACTTCATCCTGAATCCAAAATACAGCGTGCATTGAAAGCAACACTTCATTTTCTTGCAAAAACTGAACGAAATTTCCAATAAAGGCAAACGATGCCATCGGTTGAGTTGCATCGGCCGGTATATTAAACAGAACTGTCACTAAATCAGTGCTGTCAGCGTTACTCCTCTACGTAGGACAAACAAACGTTACGTTTTGTGCTATAGTGGATGAGAAGTTGTTAAATGACATCAATCCGCCTTTCGCCATTCTTAGTTCACCAAATTCTGTCTTGAGTAAACCGTGACCACGATAAACTGCAAAGGTGCTCGAAAAGGATGTATCAATCATTTATTTTTGGTGTAACTGTTCAATATTTCGATGAAGGCCATGGATGGTGAATCGAGCTGATCTAGATTCCTTCCGAATCGCATAAAACTCATTGGCATGGTATTCTGTTCATTGCGATGAAATGCATCCTCTATGCCTTTACAAAGTGACGCTATATCAATGAAAACACCTTTTACCTTGATCCAGTCTTTTGCCCATTGTTCATGGTATGATTTGTTTTTGCAAAAGATAAAAACAAAATTTAATTGAGAAATATCATGAATACAAGGCACGAGACGTTGTCCCAGCGAACCAGAAGTAATCAATAATACTTTATTGTGGTCGTTGTTCAGTATAAGTTCGATGCACCCGTCATTATCTGCAAAAATGTCGATATTATTAACAATGCACTCGAGTTGGGTAATTGTGTATTGTCAATTAACGTTATGGGATAAAACTTCTTGCGAGGTCAAAAAGTAATTCGCCTGGTAAGTTTCTCTTTTCTTCTTTTTTTACAGTCTTCGTCAAATGTATTTTCATTTGAAAGAACTCTCCATAGACTTCGATGTGTACTGCAGGGTGAGCACTGGCTATGTGGGAAAGATTTGTCATCATTTCTTTGAAATAAGAAAAAAAAACAGTGTGCTTACACCTGTTAACTTGTACTATGATCGTCGATGAGTCATAGTCTATAGAACCGCCATATAAAGGTCTTTTCAGTTTTTTTTTGTTGTTGGAATAATTTCATTAACGCACTGGGGGTCTCATTCTAACGAGAATGAAAAGCAATCATTTTGTTTTGCTATTTGACATGAATAAAAGGAACTCTCAAAACATTTCATTTAAAATCATAATTTCATTGACTAAAATAACAGCGCGACAAAAGAAATCATAATATTGCTTTTCATTCATAGCGAATAAAATTTTTTTGTATTATTCATTTTTGAATAAGTCATGTGGATCATAAAACTCATATTTCTCATTCTATTTTATTTATCTATAACAGGTTAGTTATGAGTCTCTTTATGATTTCTATCTTCATTATTGAAATTATGCGTAGATCGAACTACTGAAGCATCGAATTATACCTGTGATGAAACAGATACTCAGGTCGAATTTTCCTTATCTGTATTATCACATTCTGGGCAGAATCAATTGTCGAATTGTTTGTTACAATCATGTAATTCATATTCATCGAATAATGGTACATGTCGATTGGAATCTACACCTTGTTTCGATTACCGTACATCGAATAATAGAAGTTTCTGTGCACCAGGAATTCAATGTTCAATCTTAGAATCGTGTGATAATATTACCCATACTTGTTCATCACGAGAAATGTGTCTACCAATAGTAACAACAAGATTCTGTCGAAGAGTTAATTATTAATGCGGTTTAAATGAATTAAAATTTTAATTTATAAGTTGGTTTACTACGGGTAATATGCAAATAGCACGTTGGGGGCACACTGCATCCGTGTTATCTGATGGAAAAGTGTTAGTAACTGGCGGATCGAATAACAGTGCAGAATTGTATGATCCATAAACTGGCATCTGGACACTGACAGACAGTATGAATTAGGCACGATATGATCATACAGCAGTTGTGTTGACTAATGGAAGAGTGTTAGTTATCAGTAATTCTAATAAAGCTGAATTATATGATCCAACCACAGGTATATGGACACTTACAGGAAACATGATTCATGCTTGATACTGCTTCACAGCATCTCTATTAAGCAATGGAAACGTATTAGTGACCGGTAGAGTTGGTATTTATGACGAATCAAAAAGTGCAGAAGTGTACGATTCATTAACAAACAATTGGACATCGATTAATAGCATGACCTATGCACGATATTATCACACAGCGACTGTTTTGTCTAATGGAATCGTGTTAGTGGCGGGTGGTCTATATGGACTAAATGAAAGTTTGAATACTACTGAGCTATATGATCCATCAATAGGAGTATGGATGTCTACTGGCAATATGAGTTACGCACGGTTTCAACATAAAGCATCTCTCCTTTCTAACGGTTTAATATTAATAATTGATGAGTGGGGTTGGTGGAATTATTTGAATAAATCAGAATTTTACGATCCAACAATGGGCACATGGGCAACACCTTTTAATAATCTGGCTAATACACAGTATTTTCGCGTAAATTCAGTACTTATCCAACGGAGAAATTTTAATAACTGATTCTCTAAATCAACTTTGCATATATGATCCGTCGACAAATATCTGGATCACGACCGGTGATATATTCAATTTGGCCTCAGGCACAGCATGCTTATTAAATGATTGGAAACTTTTAACAACCGGCGGACTTGGTTTTAACAGTACCATTTTAAATCGTGCACAACTCTTTTACTAGTTTATAAATACTTCGTCACATAATCATCAAACTTTTCACATTGAACTAATAAGCTCTTAGGTAGATCGTTTTATTCCAATAAATCATTGTAAGAAAAACATATGGAGTTCTTCTAATTAATGACTCGAACATAGTAATACCTTATCTCATTGTTATTTTCCATATATAGAAGGTAATTTCGTCAGAGTCTCATGAGGAAGATGGTATTGCGCAATATACGAATAAATGACGAAGTTTTGTTCCATAGGTCATAATTATTCAACATAGCAATGCGATCAAATGTGTGGATGAATGACTGAAAAGCAACCGATGATGAAATAGTTTATCTCAAACGATTATTTCATATCAAAGAAAAAGATCGTGGAATTCCGAAAAAATGTCCAAATGATTAACAATTATAGAAGATTTCTGTTACCATGGTGAAATCGGTCATGCCCAAAATCATGATTTATTGAAAGAAGTCGGAATCACATATCCTAAACGTCTCTGACACTGAATTAGATCAAGAAATCTGCAATAATTTTAAAGTTTTATGGATAAATATTGGCGATTATTTCGAACAACCGAAGTTATTTTTACATTCATGTCAGAATAAAAGTGATAAAGTTTTATTTGATCTTCAATCATTCTCGGATACCTTATCAAATACCATCACAAAAATCTATTCGATGCTTACGATCATTTAGTCAATTGCCGATGTATCGCTCCGCCTAATTTTATTTTCTTTCTTTAATTGATTCTATACGAAAAGACTGTATAGACGAAAATAGATAGAAGAAACAAAGTTAGGTCAGGTTCGTATCGTCCAATACTATTCTGTTTTATCTCTTCAATCATTTTTCTGAGAAGATCTAAGGATAAAACAAAACGTAATGAACCAATCATATCGCTCGATTCAACATTCGCCTTAATACCCTTTTCTATGTCCTTTCGGCCTACATATGAGAATGAAATTAAATCAGGCGAAAGCAAATAAAGTGAAGCTCCTTATCAACTATAAAACAAAGTGCTTTATCTTTATTTTTTTTCATTTCTCTTGCAACGAGCTAAAAAATGACGCGTTATTTTTCTCTGTTATTCATTCTCACACTGTTTAACGTCATCATGAGTAAAGAAGGTGATTCCGCGTCTCCGTACGCGCAAATTTATATTTATTCCGGCCGTCCCAACCCACACTGGAGTTTGTCACTTGAAGAATGGTCACAACTAACTCGATTGATAGCAACATTACCAAAGTTAGCTGAAAATGGAAATGGTCCATTTGAGTTTCCCGGTCAATTGGGTTACACAGGTTTTTTCGCACATTTTTCCATCGTTTCCAGCTATCCTGACGTTTATTACGTTGCTCAGCATCAACAAGCAGTCTTATCCAATCCTGGTGGACATGTGATTTATAATGATCAAGAAAAGCTTATTGAAAAATGGTTCAAAGATTCTGCAAATCGTCATGGAATCCCATTACCAATTTGATTTATTTGAATAAAGTTTCTCTGAAATAACTGTTCTATTATGACGTGATAACGACAGGAAAATTTTAATAAAATCACGTTTTATTGACCCTTATGACCGTTTTTCTTTAGTTTCTTGATTGTTCAACGGTGGATGTAGTAAAGATATACAAGGCTAGGAAGTTGTTTAAATGCGAAATAGATAAGCAAATGTAATGTCCGATGTAAATGAATGTATGACAAGCTTCTTGTCGTCAATGAACGCTCATAATAAAGAAAAAAAACAAAGCTTGTATTCTTATTCGTAGTCGTACTTAGTTATCTTCATTTTTCTTCTAAAAGTAGGCTTTTCCCTTGTGAAGATGGTGCATAATGTTTTTATGCCTATACTTATTCGAAGTGAAATCTTCTACGATGATTGAAACTATTGGCTTCAAATTTGGGCGAAACAATCTCCTGTTGTCCAACAGCATTTTCCAATATTGGCTTATACTTATAGTGGACTGGTTTTCGCCACTACAGGATCAGATGTACCACACACTTGTTTTTCTTTATTATCTTGCATGGCACAAATAGCCTACACAATACTATACTCAAAGCGTTGTTAAAACACGTCGATCCAATACTTTGAAAGCAATCCAAGTGGCCGAAACGTTAGTCGAACAAGTAAAGCTTAAAACATCATCGACGAAATGTTGCCAGTTATTATGTCGTTTATCATCAACACCACGTCTGCATTCATCGGTTAGACGGTTGTTATATGTCTTGTTAAAATACACGCTCTAGTGACTGTTGTATTCTTAATTTCTTTCGTTTTTCTCCTGTGCCGATTTTATCTGAAGTCGAAGAACGTGTTATAAACGCTTTTATATACCGAACGAAATTATTCGCTGTCTTGTCGAAAAGAGTTTGATGCTATTTCGAAAAATATCAATCTCAAAATCAAATCTGCTGAAAAAGATCGGAATTATAGGTCGAACTGACACGGAAAAATCACTTCTGTTGAAAGACATATTTGAGGATGTGTTAGACTGAGAACGAATATCGCTTCGTTACTCATTTCATCCTCGAGTCTAAATTACTCACTTAGACAGCGACTGTACATTCTTTACAATTCTTTGATAGTACAAGTAACGTACATTTGCTACGTAACTTATGTATTTTATTGAAGGTTCGAAAATGTGAAAAATACGAAAAATTTTTTTAAAAAATAGATAAGAAGTATTTTTTGGAGTCATGCAATGCAACATATTGTTTTACCAACGGGTACAATTCTTGTCTACGTTTTTTCGGTAAAAAGGTTTATAAGGGCATTGATTATTTGACTAACTATCATTGCTTTAGGACTAATTGTTCATTGTCAAACATTGATTTTGTCGGATTTCTTCCGTTGCGATAGATTTCACGCAAGAAAAGCGCTTGTCACCACTTTCTATTCACATTATCTTGCATTTTCACGATCCATTCGTGAAGGAAGTATTAACAAAGTAAAACAAAAAATGCTCATAAAATAGATAAAATAGAATAAATCTGAATGTGACAACAATATAGATTAACCCAAGGTTAAATGGAATTAATAAACAAGATAGATGCTTTTTAAAAATGTGATTATATTAATGGTATTTTGATGAATATCAAATTTATCTGTTCACAGGAAAGAAACAAAGAACTTCATATAATTCTGACTGGTTTTTTATGTACAAAAATCTTCATTATGTATTTTATTTACTTTTTACATCCGTCTCCTTTCTCTATTCAATCATATGTAATGAGTCACCATCAACTTTCACGAAAAGATTGATTGTATGCGTGGTAGGAAAACAAAGTTTGTATTGATTTGTGTTTCTATCTGCAGTGAAAAACATCATTATTGATAACAAATTCAGTTGTTTAAGTATTGTAACAAGGCACGGAGTGCGATCCTATTATCGATAGAATTCGCGTCCAGGAATCAACACACATCGTCGACGATTTGTACTTTAACGAAAAGAAAATGATGCAGAAAGTGACTTTCAATAACTATAAATGAACCACGTGTTTTTCTCCGTTTTATTTCACTAGACAACGACAGCTACGAATGGATAAAATAAATGAATAAAATACGGAAAAGTATAGAGATAATCGACGACAAATGGCGGTGCTATTCCCGCTTGCAATGGCATCCATGCTCTTACGTAGAGTATTGCTATACTCAACAGTTGAATAACCATTCGTCGATCACGTTTCCATCGAAATACCTCGATTTGCATTCGCCGTTTTTGTACTCCATATTGTTATCGCGAAGATGGGCACTCAACTGTTCATGAACGTATCTGTATTGGTAATGGAATTTGTAAAGAAATAACATGGAATCAAACAACAAATTAGTTTCGTGTAATTATATGCTGCTTGGCATGGATCGAGAAATATGAAAATGAAATAGAATATTCACGGATAGATCATACAAACTGTCAATGGAACGTAATGATAGTATATTCGACTAGACCGAGTATATAGAGCCTTCAAACTAATCTATAGAAGCAAATGCCATGAGGATAAGGTTACTTATGTTAATACTCTAGTGAATCCGTGTCCATATAGCACGGAAAAGATTACTTTCTGGTCGGACATGCTCTGTGAAAAAGAAGGTTTTACTGGCAGATACGGGTACCGCCATGAATATGAAACTACTGCAAAGCAGAACGATGATGACATGATTATGGATTGATTGGTATATATAGGGTTGGTCGTGTAACATATTGAAAGATGAGATATGAAGAACATATGGCTGATGGTATTTGTAACGTAAGACATACACCGAATTTGACCCGATTTAATGATATTGTGGAGTTTGAAGGGCTCGACATAATGGCATATGCTAGAGTCGGAGAAGATGGATTATATAGAAGAGAAACTCAATTAACTAAAGTCACCAAAGTCTTCCATGAAAACAATTAAAAGATTGCACTTCTCCTAGAATATCCTATAAATAAATAGATCTTCAAAATAAAAGTATGCCTCTAAATCTGTTAACTCGTTAGCATGCTCTTTTTTCTTCTTCACATGGTTAATGTCTCTAGATTGAAAGCGGGCCTGAAGAGCGTGATGGGCTTGCANAAGGTCCACCCTCAGTGTGTGCTCCTTCGTGCCGTCCGTTCGTTGCGGACATTCGAAAAGATTAAATTAGGGGTGATAAGGTATCTCAGACAGCAAGAGAGAATACGTCTTGTCGTGGTATGTTGTCGGGACTAGTGGTTTCTTGTTGTATTTGTGCATGTATTATGTTATCGTACGAAGATGGTGTTTCATAATTCACCTTCGTGTGTTATCTAGAATAGATGAAATTTGTTTATTGTATGTTTCGAAGGTGACTTATTAAAAAGTGGGATTGTGTGAAGTATGACAGGCCAAATATAGTTACTAATAGAAGAAATTATTTGATAAAGAGATATTATGTAAAGTTTTTGTGTTGTTAATGTTTTTCTTATATAAGTTATCGTCTCTAAGGGCTTGACTGATTGTTGTTGATGGTGCTTATGACTAGTTTGTGTGTGATGATTGAATTTGCCCGTTTAATCATATGTGTTCGGCGACTTTCAATGGCATTTAATGCGGTCTTGTGCCATTTGGATTTAGATTGGTTGAAGCGTATGGGTTTAGAGTACTTTTGTGTTTCAATTAGTTGTTTCTCTTCTATGTTTTGTAACAATCGACAGCAGGTCTTGATTGTTTGATAAATAATATCTGTTTTCAATGTTTGTAATTTAACTATTTCATTCAATATATCAGTAGCTGGTTGATTAGTTTCTTTTAGTTTGATTAGCTGCTTATCGATGAGGGTGGGAGTGTGGGTGTGAGGGTGAGGGTGTGTTTGAACATAGATAAAGAAAGAATCAACTATTAAAAATCTTTTCATTTTGTCCACGAGACTAAAGATTCGAATTCATTCAAAGTATCCACAGAGATATGCTTGAATAAGTGCGAGAAACTTATCCAAAAAAGATCATTAAATCAGAGCAGGACTCGAACCCACATCTTTCGATAACCGCTCGGCTATTCTACCAATTAAACTATCTGATGTTCTTTTCTGTTAGTTAATAACAACATATCAAGACTCTGAATAAATCTTCAGGGTGAGGGTGTGGGTGTGGGTATGGGGTGTATATGTATAAGTAAAACTAAATCTATTTCTATTCCTAAGGGTGCTAGGAATTGGTCACTTATATTATAAGTCGAATTAGGCAGCTACTCCCGTCCACGATGGACAGTTACAGGAAACATGATTCATGCTCGATACGGCTTCACAGCATCTCTATTAAGCAATGGAAACGTATTAGTGGCCGGTAGAGTTGGTATTTATGACGAATCAAAAAGTGCAGAAGTATACGATTCATCAACAAACAATTGGACATCGATTAATAACATGACCTATGCACGATATTATTACACAGCGACTGTTTTGTCTAATGGAAACGTGTTAGTGGCGGGTGGTCTATATGGACTAAATGAAAGTTTGAATACTACTGAGCTATATGATCCATCAATAGGAGTATGGATGTCTACTGGCAATATGAGTTACGCACGGTTTCAACATAAAGCATCTCTCCTTTCTAACGGTTTAGTATTAATAATTGATGAGTGGGGTTGGTGGAATTANACTTGAAGAATGGTCACAACTAACTCGATTGATAGCAACATTACCAAAGTTAGCTGAAAATGGAAATGGTCCATTTGAGTTTCCCGGTCAATTGGGTTACACAGGTTTTTTCGCACATTTTCCCATCGTTTCCAGCTATCCTGACGTTTATTACGTTGCTCAGCATCAACAAGCAGTCTTATCCAATCCCGGTGGACATGTGATTTATAATGATCAAGAAAAGCTTATTGAACAATGGTTCAAAGATTCTGCAAATCGTCATGGAATCCCATTACCAATTTGATTTATTTGAATAAAGTCTCTCTGAAATAACTGTTCTATTATGACGTGATAACAACAGAAAAAGTTTAATAAAATCATAGGAGGTTGTTTAAGTGTGAAATAGATAAGCAAATGTGATGTCCGATGTAAATAGAAGTATGTCAAGTTTCTTGTCGTCAGTGAACGCTCATAATAAAGAAGAAAACAAAGTTTATGTTGTTATTCGTAGTCGTACTTATCTTCATTTTTCCCCTAAAAGTAGGCTTTTCCTTTGTGAAGATGGTGCATAATATTTTTATAAATATACTTGTTTGAAGTGAAATCTTCTACAATGATTGAAACTATTGACTTCGAATTTGAGCGAAACAATCTCTTGTTGTTCAACCACATTTTCCAATATTGGCCTACGCTTATTTTGCACTGATTTTCGCCACTACAGAATCAGATGTACTAAACACTTGTTTTTCTTTATTATCTTGCATGGCACGAATAACCTACATGATACTATACTCAAAGTGTTGTTAAAACAACACGTCGATCCAGTATTTTGAAAGCAATCCAAGTGGTCGAATTGTTAGTCGAACAAGTAAAGCTTAAAACATCATCGACGAAATATTGGCAGTTATGTTGTAATCTATCATCAACATCACGTCTGCATTCATTGATTAGATAGCTGTTATATGTCTTGTGAAAATACACGCTCTATAGTGATTGTTGTATTCTTAATTTCTTTCGTTTTTCTCTCGTGCCGATTTTATCTGAAGTCGAAGAACGTGTTATAAACGCTTTTACCGAACTAAATTATTCGCTGTCTTGCCGAAAAGATTTTGATGCTATTTTGAAAAATATCAATCTCAAAATCAAATCTGCTGAAAAAAATCGGTATTATAGGTCGAACTGACACGGCATCTGTTGAAAGACATATTTGAGGATGTGTTAAAGTGAAAACGAATATCGCTTCGTTACTCATTTCATCCTCGAGTCTAAATTACTCACTTAGACAGCGACTGCACATTCTTTACTCTTCTTTGATAGTACAAGTAACGTACATTTGCTACGTAACTTATGTATTTTATTGAAGGTTCGAAAATATGAAAAATACGAAAAATATTTTTTTTTAAATAGATAAGAAGTATTTTTTGGAGTCATGCAATGCAACATATTGTTTTACCAACGGGTACAATTCTTGTCTACGTTTTTTCGGTAAAAAGGTTTATAAGGGCATTGATTATTTGAATAAATGTGATTGTTG